CCGACACACACACATGCACACCGCCCTGCCAACCAAACTCAACTCCATGATTTTTGTGCCAATGTGCCCCCTTTTTTCCCTCGATTCTTCATCAAGCCAATTCAATTCAACAAACAGTACAGCATAGAAACATCTCCGCTTTAAAATATGAATACAAAAAGACTGCGGTCCAATTCCCGTTGGCTTTGGAGCACAGCCGCCCATTGTAATTAAACCGTCTTAATTGGTGTTAGAGCGTTAGTGAGAAAGAGCTCGCTCGTGTGTGTGTGATAGCGTGTGTGTGTTAGTGTGTGTGTTAGCGTGTGTGTGTGATAGCGTGTGTGTGTGTGTGTTAGCGTGTGTGTGTGTGGGGAGCGGTAGTGTAGCGGTTAGTGCGCTGCGCTATGAACCTGGCGACACGGGTTCGATTCCCGCTCACGGCCAACACCAGTGACGATTATCTGAACCGGTCCCGGGCCTCCCCTAGGTCGACTCAGCCTCAAATGAGTACCTGGTGCGGTGTGTAAACATTGCCACTAGGGAGACAAAGGCGGTCGGGCGTGGTGCTGGCCATCCACCCCCTCGTGTACCGTTCCGGCCTTCATAGGTGCTGCTCGCTAACAGCACTTGCCCCTACAGTCTGTTAAGGCTATATGGGGGATCTTTGTGTGTTAGCGCGAGTGTGTGTTAGCGCGAGTGTGTGTTAGCGCGAGTGTGTGTTAGAGCGAGTGTGTGTTAGCGCGAGTGTGTGTTAGCGCGAGTGTGTGTTAGCGCGAGTGTGTGTTAACGCGAGTGTGTGTTAGCGCGAGTGTGTGTTAGCGCGAGTGTGTGTTAGCGCGAGTGTGTGTTAGCGCGAGTGTGTGTTAGCGCGAGTGTGTGTTAGCGCGAGTGTGTGTTAGCGCGAGTGCGTGTTAGCGTGTGTGTGTGTTAGCGTGTTAGCGTGTGTTAGCGTGTTAGCGTGTGTTAGCGTGTTAGCGTGTGTTAGCGTGTTAGCGTGTGTTAGCGTGTTAGCGTGTGTTAGCGTGTTAGCGTGTGTTAGCGTGTTAGCGTGTGTGTGTTAGCGTGTTAGCGTGTGTGTGTTAGCGTGTTAGCGTGTGTGTGTTAGCGTGTTAGCGTGTGTGTGTTAGCGTGTTAGCGTGTGTGTGTTAGCGTGTTAGCGTGTGTGTGTTAGCGTGTTAGCGTGTGTGTGTTAGCGTGTTAGCGTGTGTGTGTTAGCGTGTGTGTGTTAGCGTGTTAGCGTGTTAGCGTGTGTGTGTTAGCGTGTTAGCGTGTGTGTGTTAGCGTGTTAGCGTGTGTGTGTTAGCGTGTTAGCGTGTGTGTGTTAGCGTGTTAGCGTGTGTGTGTTAGCGTGTTAGCGTGTGTGTGTTAGCGTGTTAGCGTGTGTGTGTTAGTGTGTTAGCGTGTGTGTGTTAGCGTGTTAGCGTGTGTGTGTTAGCGTGTTAGCGTGTGTGTTAGCGTGTTAGCGTGTGTGTTAGCGTGTTAGCGTGTGTGTTAGCGTGTTAGCGTGTGTGTTAGCGTGTTAGGGTGTGTGTTAGCGCGTGTGTGATAGCGGGTAGTGAGACACTGCTCGTGAGACACTGGTAGTGAGACACTGGGTAGTGAGACACTGGGTAGTGAGACACTGGATAGTGTGACACTGGGTAGTGAGACACTGCTAGTGAGACACTGATAGTGAGGCACTGGGTAGTGAGACACTGGGTAGTGAGACACTGGGTAGTGAGATACTGGGTAGTGAAACACTGGTAGTAGGTAAATCTGTTTCATAGACAATGCCTATAACGACATTATTATTATTATTAAAATCAGTGCCATGTTTTTGCCAAGTTCTGCGTGCGGTTAATGCAGAGACCTGTTAACGCCTCGACAAAGTAATTTTCTTTTGTGGCTTTCGAACTCCTTCACACAACTTCTGCTTCATTGCCACAGAAGGGTAAAGAAACACCCTTTTTGTTATGTTTCGCCGTAATTGGCTCTGTCGGAGATCCATGAAGCCACCACAGCTGAGATTCTAAGTTGGAGACCGTGGATCTCTGTGTGTGTGTGTGTGCGTGTCTCTCTGTGCCAGTCCGGGAGCTCACGATGGCCGTGTCGGACGCACTTAGCCAGGCGATGCTGGGATCCTTCGCTCGAGACGGCGGCCCTGTCCGTGCGTGTCTCTCTGTGCCAGTGTGGGAGGTCACGATGGCCGTGTCGGAGGCACTTAGCCGGGCGATGCTGGGATCCGACGTTCGATACGGTGGCCCTGTCCGTGCGTGTCTCTCTGTGCCAGCGCGGGAGCTCACGATGGCCGTGTCGGAGGCACTTAGCCGGGCGATGCTGGGATCCTTCGCTCGAGACGGCGTCTCTGTCCGTGCGTGTCTCTCTGTGCCAGTGTGGGAGGTCATGATGTCCGTGTCGGAGGCAGCGAGCCGGCGATACGCCTGACGTCAGCCAGCGGCACCCCCCGTTGAGCGCGAGGTGTTGAATTCAGCAGCCCGCGAGCATCACAATCACTGCGCTGGCGATGCCGGATATGTAATTAAGCCCCCACGAATGTATGTATTTTTAAATGCGTTTATAGATAGAGAGAGACAGAGAGAGAGAGACGGATAACACACCACGGGCGAGACGCCCTTGTATGTCGCTCGATTCCTCTTTGTTTCTCTCTCTCTCAGTGTGGGGTTCACGATGGCCGTGTCAGAGACACTGAGAGGCTGGGTTCGAGCCCTGGGTCTGGGTGTCTCTGTCTCTGTGGGTTCACGATGGCCGTGTCGGAGACACTGAGAGTCTGGGTTCGAGTCCTGGGTCTGGGTGTCTCTCAGTGGGTTCACGATGGCCGTGTCGGAGACACTGAGAGGCTGGGTTCGAGCCCTGGGTCTGGGTGTCTCTCTCTCTCTCTCTGTGGGTTCACGATGGCCGTGTCAGAGACACTGAGATTCTAGGTTCCATCCCTGGGTCTGGGTGTCTCTCTCTCTCTGTGGGTTCACGATGGCCGTGTCGGAGACACTGAGAGTCTGGGTTCGAGCCCTGGGTCTGGGTGTCTCTCTCTCTCTCTCTGTGGGATCACAATGGCCGTGTCAGAGACACTGAGAGGCTGGTTTCGAGCCCTGGGTCTCTGTGTCTCTCTCTCAGTGGGTTCACAATGGCCGTGTCAGAGACACTGAAAGTCTGGGTTCGAGCCCTGGGTCTGGGTGTCTCTCTCTCTCTCTGTGGGTTCACGATGGCCGTGTCAGAGACAGAGAGGCTGGGTTCAAGCCCGGGGTCTGGGTGTCTTTCTCTCTCTGTGGGTTTACAATGGGCGTGTTGGAGATGCTGAGAGTCTGGGTTGGAGCCCTGGGTCTGGGTGTCTCTCTCAGTGGGTTCACAATGGCTGTGTCAGAGACACTGAAAGTCTGGGTTCGAGCCTTGGGTCTGGGTGTCTCTCTCTCAGTGAGTTCACAATGGCCGTGTCAGAGACATTGAGAGTCTGGGTTCGAGCCCTGGGTCTGGGTGTCTCTCTCAGTGGGTTCACAATGGCCGTGTCAGAGACACTGAGTGTCTGGGTTCGAGCCATGGGTCTGGGTGTCTCTCTCTCTCTGTCGGTTCACAATGGCCGTGTCAGAGACACTGAGTGTCTGGGTTCGAGCCCTGGGTCTGGGTGTCTCTCTCTCTCTCTCTGTCGGTTCACGATGGCCGTGTCGGAGACACTGAGAGTCTGGGTTCAAGCCCTGGGTCTGGGTGTCTCTCTCAGTGGGTTCATGATGGCCGTGTCAGACACACTGAGAGCCTCGGTTAGAGCCCTAGGCCTGTGAATGTATATATTTAGCGAATGCAAAGTCACGTCTCACTACCATTCTCTCACGAGCAGTGTCTCACTAGCAGTGTCTCACTACCCAGTGTCTCACTACCCAGTGTCTCAATAGCAGTGTCTCACTAGCAGTGTCTCACTATCCAGTGTCTCACTACCCAGTGTCTCACCACCCAGTGTCTCACTATCCAGGGTCTCACTACCCAGTGTCTCACTAGCGGTGTCTCACTAGCAGTGTCTCACTACCCAGTGTCTCACTACCCAGTGTCTCACTACCCAGTGTCTCACTGCCAGTGTCTCACTACCTAGTGTCTCACTACCCAGTGTCTCACTAGCAGTGTCTCACTACCCAGTGTCTCACTACCCAGTGTCTCACTACCAGTGTCTCACTACCCAGTGTCTCACTACCCAGTGTCTCACTAGCAGTGTCTCACTACCCAGTGTCTCACTAGCAGTGTCTCACTACCCAGTGTCTCACTATCCAGTGTCTCACTACCCAGTGTCTCACTACCCAGTGTCTCACTAGCAGTGTCTCACTACCCAGTGTCTCACTACCCAGTGTCTCACTTGGAGTGTCTCACTGCCCAGTGTCTCACTACTCAGTGTCTCACTACCCAGTATCTCACTACCGAGTGTCTCACTACCCAGTGTCTCACTAACAGTGTCTCACTACCCAGTGTCTCACTAACAGTGTCTCACTACTCAGTATCTCACTACCAGTGTCTCACTACCCAGTATCTCACTAACAGTGGTGCATGAGTGAGTGGGTAGGTGAGTGAGTGAGTGAGTAAGTGAGTGGGTGAGTGAGTGGGTAGGTGAGTGAGTGAGTGAGTGGGTGAGTGAGTGGGTGAGTGAGTGAGTGGGTGAGTGAGTGGGTAGGTGAGTGAGTGGGTGAGTGAGTGGGTGAGTGAGTGGGTGGGTGAGTGAGTGGGTGGGTGAGTGAGTGGGTGGGTGAGTGAGTGGGTGAGTGAGTGAGTGAGCGAGTGAGTGGGTGAGCGAGCGAGTAGGTGAGTGAGTGGGTGAGTGAGCGAGTGGGCGAGTGAGCGATTAGCTGAGTGAACGAGTGTACGTTGAACCTCATTCGCACCGCACACAGCCCACCGTGCGAACTTCACTCGCGCCTGACCGCCCCCGGGCCACCCCCCCACTCCTCCGGCCGACGGCAAGGTGCTCCCTGCAAGATCGCTCCTCGCAGCTTTGGGCTCGCCTCTGATGTCCGTCCCCCTCTCTCTGTGTGCCCTGCATGGCTGTGCAGCCGGTGAGCGGAGCTCCCCATCCCTCCCCTCCTCCTGGGCAACGCCTCGTCCACGTCTCCACGATGGGCCTCCTCCTCCTCCTCGGCCTCCGGCACCTCGGCCACGCCGCCCTGCTCACGGCGCTGGGATCGTTCGCCGTCGCGGCCGCCGTCAAGATGCTGTCCAAGCGCGGCTCTGGTAAACCGCTCCGGTCTGGTGGTGGAGGAGGGTGCCTGGGCGATCGGTCGAGAACCCAGCGGTGGTGGCGGGGTGGTTGGGGGGGAGTGGGTGGCTGGGGGTGGTAGCGTCTCAGCAGTCGGTGTGCTTGAGCGGAAGACACTCGGGGGGTAGTTGGTGGATCCCGGCCACTCCGCGGAGAGCCGGAGTTGCGAGTTCATCAGGGCGCTTTGCTCCAAGGTGCGATTATTATTTTTTTTTACTACGGATTATTATTCGTTAAAGTCATTGACGTTACCATTTTTTTTCTTCCAGAATGGGTCATTAAGGGCTCCACACGGTGTATCCCGTACGCTCGCTGATCGACCGGTTTAGTGGAACCAACGACCAGTCGATAGGAGGAGTTGGTTCTATTTGATTGTCTGTTCGTAATGTTGTTAATGTTCAAGGTACGTTTTTTGGGCGAAAGAGAGCACGGCCGTCGATCTTGTCGTAAGGGATGAAGCTTTGACGGTGCATCTCCTAAACACGCTGAACGACCGGTTGAGTGGAACCAACGACCTTCGATAGGAGGAGTTGGTTCTATTTGATTGTCTGTTCGCAATGTTGTTAATGTTCAAGGTACGTTTTTTGGGCGAAAGACAGCACGACCGTCGATCCTGTCGGAGGTGATGAAGCTTTGACGGTGTATCTCCTAAACACGCTGAACGACCGGTTGAGTGGAACCAACGACCGTCGATAGGAGGAGTTGGTTCTATTTGATTGTCTGTTCGTAATGTTGTTAATGTTCAAGGTACGTTTTTTGGGCGAAAGACAGCACGACCGTCGATCCTGTCGGAGGTGATGAAGCTTTGACGGTGTATCTCCTAAAACACGCTGAACGACCGGTTGAGTGGAACCAACGACCGTCGATAGGAGGAGTTGGTGCTATTCTGTTCCTGTGCGTATCTATATAGAGACAGAGAGCACCGTAGGTCAAGGCACTTGACGCAGTTGAGATGGCGCTTGAGAAACCCGGAGAGTGATTTGAATGCCCCGGGGGAGAGGGGGGGCGGTGAGGAGGTGGAGGGTGTCGAGGGGGGAGGAGGGATCACGGAGTGGGGGGGGGAGGCTATAGGGGAGGGAAAGGAAGGAGTGGAGGGGTGAAAGGGAGGGAAGAGGGAGGGCACGGGCGATTGGGGAGAGGGGGAGTAGGCGAGGCTTTGAAAGAGAGGAATGGAAGGAGGTTCAGGAGGGGCACTGATTGATGTACAGGGGCAGTGTTGAGTCTATGGGGCAGGGTTGAGTCTATGGTGCAGTGTTGAGTCTATGGGGCAGTGTTGAGTCTATGGGGCAGTGTTGAGTCTATGAGGCAGTGTTGAGTCTATGAGGCAGGGTTGAGTCTATGGGGCAGTGTTGAGTCTGTGGGGCAGTGTTGAGTCTATGGTGCAGTGTTGAGTCTATGGTGCAGTGTTGAGTCTATGGGGCAGTGTTGAGTCTATGGGGCAGGGTTGAGTCTATGGGCAGTGTTGAGTCTATGGTGCAGTGTTGAGTCTATGGGGCAGGGTTGAGTCTATGGTGCAGTGTTGAGTCTATGGGGCAGGGTTGAGTCTATGGTGCAGTGTTGAGTCTATGGGGCAGGGTTGAGTCTATGGGGCAGGGTTGAGTCTATGGGGCAGGGTTGAGTCTATGGTGCAGTGTTGAGTCTATGGGGCAGTGTTGAGTCTATGGTGCAGTGTTGAGTCTATGGTGCAGTGTTGAGTCTATGGCCAGTGTTGAGTCTATGGGTCTCAGTGTTGAGTCTATGGGGCAGTGTTGAGTATATGGGGCAGTGATGAGTCTATGGTGCAGTGTTGAGTCTATGGTGCAGTGTTGAGTCTATGGGGCAGTGTTGAGTCTATGGGGCAGTGTTGAGTCTATGAGGCAGTGTTGAGTCTATGGGGCAGTGTTGAGTCTATGGGGCAGTGTTGAGTCTATGGGGCAGGGTTGAGTCTATGGGGCAGGGTTGAGTCTATGGTGCAGTGTTGAGTCTATGGTGCAGTGTTGAGTCTATGGTGCAGTGTTGAGTCTATGGGGCAGGGTTGAGTCTATGGGGCAGGGTTGAGTCTATGGGGCAGGGTTGAGTCTATGGGGCAGTGTTGAGTCTATGGGGCAGGGTTGAGCCTATGGGGCAGGGTTGAGTCTATGGGGCAGGGTTGAGTCTATGGGGCAGTGTTGAGTCTATGGGCAGTGTTGAGTCTATGGGGCAGGGTTGAGTCTATGGTGCAGTGTTGAGTCTATGGGGCAAGGTTGAGTCTATGGTGCAGTGTTGAGTCTATGGGGCAGGGTTGAGTCTATGGGGCAGGGTTGAGTCTATGGGGCAGGGTTGAGTCTATGGTGCAGTGTTGAGTCTATGGGGCAGGGTTGAGTCTATGATGCATGGTGCAGTGTTGAGTCTATGGTGCAGTGTTGAGTCTATGGTGCAGTGTTGAGTCTAAGGGCCAGGGTTGAGTCTATGGTGCAGTGTTGAGTCTATGGGGCAGTGTTGAGTCTAAGGGCAATGTTGAGTCTATGTGCAGTGTTGAGTCTATGGAGCAGTGTTGAGTCTATGGTGCAGTGTTGAGTCTATGTGGAGTGTTGAGTCTATGGAGCAGTGTTGAGTCTATGGGGCAGTGTTGAGTCTATGGTGCAGTGTTGAGTCTATGGGGCAGGGTTGAGTCTATGGTGCAGTGTTGAGTCTATGGGGCAGGGTTGAGTCTATGGTGCAGTGTTGAGTCTTTGGGGCAAGGTTGAGTCTATGGCGCAGTGTTGAGTCTATGGGGCAGGGTTGAGTCTATAGGGCAGGGTTGAGTCTATGGTGCAGTGTTGAGTCTATGGTGCAGGGTTGAGTCTATGGTGCAGTGTTGAGTCTATGGGGGAGGGTTGAGTCTATGGTGCAGTGCTGAGTCTATGGTAGATCAATCAGTCCCCCTCCTTAGCAACACCTATACACAGACAAAGATCCCCCGTGTAGCCTCTAACAGGCTGTAGGGGCAAGTGCTGTTAGCGAGCAGCAGCAGCACTTATACACAGACAAAGATCCCCCGTGTAGCCTCTAACAGGCTGTAGGGGCAAGTGCTGTTGGCGAGTAGCAGCAGCGCCTATACACAGACAAAGATCCCCCGTGTAGCCTCTAACAGGCTGTAGGGGCAAGTGCTGTTAGCGAGTAGCAGCAGCGCCTATACACAGACAAAGATCCCCCGTGTAGCCTCTAACAGGCTGTAGGGGCAAGTGCTGTTAGCAAGTAGCAGCAGCAGCACTTATACACAGACAAAGATCCCCCGTGTAGCCTCTAACAGGCTGTAGGGGCAAGTGCTGTTAGCGAGTAGCAGCAGCGCCTATACACAGACAAAGATCCCCCGTGTAGCCTCTAACAGGCTGTAGGGGCAAGTGCTGTTAGCAAGTAGCAGCAGCAGCACTTATACACAGACAAAGATCCCCCGTGTAGCCTCTAACAGGCTGTAGGGGCAAGTGCTGTTAGCGAGCACCTATGAATGCCGGAACGGCACACGAGGAGGTTTGGTGGCCCGGACCACGCCCGGCCGCCTTTGTCTCCCCAGTGGCGATATTCACTACACACCGCACCAGTCTACTCATTTGAGGCCGAGTCGATCTAGAAGAGGCCCAGGCACCGGTTCAGATAATTCTCACCGGTGGTGTTGGCCGTGAGCGGGAATCGAACCTGGGTGGCCAGGTTCTTAGCGCAAGCGTAGCGCTAACCGCTGCACTACCGTGGTGGTGGGGGTGGTGGGGGTGGTGATGGTGGTGGTGGTGATGGTGGTGGTGATGGTGGTGGTGGTGATGGTGGTGGGGGTGGTGATGGTGGTGATGGTGGTGGTTGGGGTGGTGGTGATGGTGGTGGTGGTGATGGTGGTGGTGATGGTGGTGGTTGTGGGGGTGGTGGTGGCGGTGGTGGTGATGGTGGTGGTGATGGTGGTGGTGGTGATGGTGATGGTGGTGGTGGTGATGGTGGTGGGGGTGGTGGGGGTGGTGGTGGTGGTGATGGTTGGGGTGGTGGTGATGGTGGTGGTGATGGTGGTGATGGTGGTGGTGATGGTGGTGGTGGTGATGGTGGTGGGGGTGGTGGGGGTGGTGGTGGTGGTGATGGTTGGGGTGGTGGTGATGGTGGTGGTGATGGTGGTGGTGGTGGTGATGGTGGTGATGGTGGTGGTTGTGGGGGTGGTGGTGGCGGTGGTGGTGATGGTGATGGTGGTGGTGATGGTGGTGGTGGTGGTGGTGGTGATGGTGGTGGTGATGGTGGTGATGGTTGGGTTGGTGGTTGTGGGGGTGGTGGTGATGGTGGTGGTGGTTAGGGGTGGTGGTGATGGTGGTGGTTGTGGGGGTGGTGGTGATGGTGGTGGTGATGGTGGTGGTGGTGATGGTGGTGGTGGTTAGGGGTGGTGGTGATGGTGGTGGTTGTGGGGGTGGTGGTGATGGTGGTGGTGGTGGTGATGGTGGTAGTGATGGTAATGGTGGTGGTGGTGCGGGTGGTGGTAATGGTGCTAATGGTGGTGATGGTGGTGGTGGTTAGGGGTGGTGGGGATGACGGTGGTGGTTGTGGGGGTGGTGGTGGTGATTGTGGGGGTGGTGGTGATGGTGGTGGGGTTGGTGGGTGGCGAGGGGATGGGGGTTGGGGAGCTGCTTGGCTTCCCAAGCACAGCACCGAGAGACTTTCACAAAGCCCTTCCTTGTCTCGGGATCCTTCGGCCGTTACCCCCTCCCCTCGTTTTTATAAAGATCCCCCCCCACCCTGCCCCCCACCCTGCCTCCCACCCTGCCCCCCACTCTCGGGTTTGTCCGGCGGATCCCCCTTTTGTCCGTGTGCTTTGGGCCAGGCCACTGACGGTTTAGTAAACCCCTCGCCCCGTGTCCTTCTACCCCCCCTCTCTCTCCCCCTCTCTCTCTCCCTCTCTCTCCCCGTCTCTCTCTTTTTTTTACGATCAGAGGAAACAAGAAGATGCTCGGCGTAGTCGGCACTTTGCTCCGTTCATCATTTCGTTTCTTTTTTCTACCAACGCTTTGCT